TTAAGTTTTACATTTAAAGATATATGTCACATTTTGAAAAACAAATATGAGGTAATTTTCTCTTAAAAAATTATTGAAACGCAAGAAAAGGATCAATAGAAACTTCATTTTGAAAAGGAAATTAAAAATACAATATTACATTTCTCATAGTATATTTCTAATATACCTGGCGTGCTCATAGGTCACATATCTTCCCTAACTTCATAACATACTTCCTATTTTCTACATTTTTTTTTGTTTGGACTCACGAATCTCATGAGAGGGAGTTGCACTTGGAAGAGTAAAAAAAACGATTCTTTAATTTGCGAGGAGAGAAGCACTTTTTTTATGTCAAAAGTTGTGGGCGTGAATACATATTATACTCCGTACGTAGTTCCTTTATTTTCACCAACTTTAAGAATGAAATTATGGTATACTGAATAGTGTGTAGAAATAGTGAAAAAGGAGCCAAGATGAAAGAGTGGGAAATTACTAATGAGAAGATAAAACAGAAGGGCATTTGTGGCATTTGACATATGTGGAGCCAGATTAAAAAGTGGAGGCGAGGAAGTGGTCCAATTCAACTAACTGGTCGTCAACCCATGCACTCTCTCATACGGGAGGTAAATATCTTGCAGGGACGAATCCAAGATTTGAAGTCAAGGTGGACGAAAATTTTTCATTAGTGTACGGGTGAATTTTTTTTCGCTCGTGTAGGGAGGCGATTTTTTTCACTGGTGTAGCGGAGCGATTTTTTTCTAGTGTAAGGCTCTGTGGCGATTGTTTTATTCAAAAAAATCCATCAATATATACATGACAACATTCAAATCTATTACATTCTAAGTCTAGAAAATGGAAAATAACTTTGATTTTATAATTAAAGTGCTCTAGAAAAAAGTCTTGATACATTAAAGCGTAAGGAATGACAAATCAAAGGGAAATTATTTCAAAATAAAAAAGGAAATATAATATTCTATCAAATTATTTGAATATAAAAAGTTTAAAAGGTATGCATCCACCAATAGTTTTTAAACAACTTTTGTTTTGTTTAATCACATAAATCTTATCGGAATAAATGATTAATTTTTGAATTGCAACTTTTGTCTATCAAGGAGGGTATTCATGAGTCAAGAGAAGTAGTTTTCAAAATATTACAATACTATATATGTATGAGATTATTATTTTTAGAATCATATTACATTGCAGATTCATATGTATGGTGCATATTATATTTGTATTATTGCTAAAACAAGTTAAAGTTTATTATTTATGCAATAAATTGTTTTTAGAAAGTAAGAAGTAAATCGATTGTAATTTAATGTAAAGTGTCATCAACAAACATTTATATTTTGGATTCAATGCTAGGAATTAATTATAAACATTACAAAACTAGGAATTTTTATATAATAAGTATCCTAAGCTAAGTCTTGAATAATGAGTTACTCTATTGTTTATTTGTTTAAGTTATGTAAATTATTTTAAATGCTATATAAAATTTTGAAAGCTAAAAGTTAAGGGGGGCGAACACATATATATCTAATTAGAGCATAAAAACTTTATAAAAATATCACACACGCGCACACACACACACACACACACACATATATAATTTTGAAAGTCCAAGGGGGGCGGTCGATTGCCCCCCCCCCACTAAATCCATCCCTGATATCATGTTCGAAATCCCACGGGATTTTCAGTCTTGTTTACCCCACCCCAGACCCCCCAACCCCTGACGCCTGGGGTAAAAAAATTGAATGATAATCCTGATAAGACCAAAAACAATGTCATTAAACCGACAGTAATTTGACTTCTACTTTATAACAAAACTGAAGCAAAATCATTTTCAAACCACACTTAATAGAATTGATCCAAACACTTTAATTTTTCTCTCTCTCTCGGCTCCTTCCTTGTTCATCATCATCATGGCGTCTGATGCCACCTCCGGTCACACCTCCAGTGATATCCATATCCCCAACACTTCTGAACCTAACAAACCACTCATTTCTGTCAATCTCGGGAATGTGATCAAACTCACTCCCACAAACTACATTTCCTGGCAATTACATGTCCAATCTATTCTCACCGGATATAATCTTGACGGTTATTTGGACAGATCTCTTCCCTGCCCGCCTGCGACCATCACTGCCGATGGTACTGTGACTCCCAACCCGGCGCATGTCTCGTGGATACGGCAAGACAAACTTCTTTTCGGTGTTCTTGTTGGTACTTTGACTTCTCCTGTGGTATCTCTCATCACACGTGCCAAAACCACCCAAGACGCCTGGAACACCCTGTCATCTATCTATGCTCAACCCTCTCGTGGGCATATTAAGCAATTGAAATCTCAGCTGAAAAACTACAAGAAAGGATCCAAAAGCATTGGTGAATATACAAAATTCATCAAAAATGTTGCTGATGAATTAGCCCTTTTGGGAAAGCCTCTGGATCATGAAGATCTCGTTGAGTACATTCTCAATGGTCTTGATGAAGGCTATAAACCCGTAATTGAAGCCGTTGAAGGACGTGAGACATGCATCACTTACACTGAGCTTCATGAAAAACTTATTAATCGTAAGCTCAAACTGCTTCAGGAGGCTGAATCTTCGCCGATGCCTATCACTTCCAATGTTGCTCGAGGACCCTCTTCGCACGGCTCCCGTGGCCGTCACAACTCATCTGGTCGTGGATTATCCTCCAGCCGTCCGTCTCCTTCATGCCGCACTCAAGGTTATACTGCTCGTGCTTGTCCTCTTTTTCGGCTTCAATCCACAACTGGTGCACTTCCTACTCCCTGGCGGCAACCCCAAAACTCCTCCACACCATGGAAATTACCCTCACGGCCTGCCTGGTCCTCACCCCAGGCTCATACTGCCTCGGGTAATGGTCTGCTTGGACCGGCCCCATCATCTCCGTGGATTTTTTACAGTGGAGCCACACATCACCTGACGTCTGCTCTTGATAATTTATTTCTGCATACTCCATACTCGGGCACTGATGAAGTCATTGTTGGCAACGGTAACGGTCTTCCTATAACTTTCACGGGTTCAGGGACCCTCTCCTCTCGTTCTCGTGTATTTCATTTAAAAAATTTATTGTGTTCCCACTATTCATTAAAATCTTATTTCTGTGTCTCAATTTTGTCTTCAAAATAAGGCCTCTGTTGAATTCTCACCTTTTTTTTGTTTTGTGTCAAGGATCTCACCACGGGGGCACCACTCCTCCACGGTCAAGCTAAAAATGGTCTCTATGAATGGCCTTCTAATTCCACTCATGTTCGAGCCTACTCCAGTGTCAAAGTGTCCTCTCAACAGTGGCATTCTCGTCTTAGTCATCCATCTCATGCAATTTTTCGTCATATGTTATCTAAATTTCCCTCCCAAATAAATCATGTATCCCCTATTGATTTTAATTGTGATTCTTGTCATTGTAATAAAAATCACAAACTTCTATTTCATGACTCATCTATAAAATCATCTCATCCATTAGAAATAATTTTTCTGATGTTTGGACCTCACCTGTCATTTCTTTTGATCAATTTAAATATTATGTTATTTTTATTGATCATTTTATCAAATATATCTGGTTCTATCCGTTAAAACGAAAATCTGATGTTCAGTCCGTATTTCCTACTTTTCGTTCACTAGTAGAAAATAAATTTGGACTAAAAATCAAAACATTCTTTTCTGGCAATGGTGGAGAATTTAAATCCCTTACCCCTTACCTCACCCAAACTGGCATATCTCATCTCACCTCCCCCCCCCACACTCCTGAACACAATGGCTATGCCGAACGCCGCCACCCTCACATTATTGAAACTGGTCTTACTCTCCTACATCAAGCCTCCTTACCACCACAATATTGGTCTTATGCCTTACCCACGGCGGTCTACCTCATTAACCGCCTTCCCACACTCACTCTTTAATATTTTTTCCCATATGAATATCTCTACCGCTCCCCACCAAATTATCAGAAACTCCGTATTTTTGGATGTTTATGCTACCCTTGGATTCGACCATACACACAACATAAACTCCAATCCCGGTCTGTCCCTTGCATTTTTCTGGGCTACTCTCTTAGTCAAAGTGCTTATTTTTGCTTTGACCTCGTTAGTGACCGCATATATGTGTCACGCCATGTAATATTTATTGAACACATTTTTCCCTATTTCACTCTTACCCAACATCCAACCGAACCCACCCCAGTTACCCCATGGACTACTACTCACCAATTTTTATATTTAAATCTCACTCCTCTTGGCCAAACTATCTCCCATTCCCTCAGCCAAAATATCTCTCAGCCTATTCCACCCTTATCTCAGTCAACCTCTATCCCATCTAATTCCCCCCAATGATTATCTCCACTCCACCTAATAATACTAAGGTTACAACTCCGGTACCTTTCTAAAATATGGGGCACCGTACCTATCATTCATTTGATTGGACCACATCACTTTATCATTTTTAATTTAGATTTAAATGATTCAACTGCTACATTCTCATTGGTCCATGTGGACAAAGGTATGGTACCTTATGGGTACCATAGAATCTACCTAATACTAATCATAATAACTCCACCCAAATATCCGTTCCTAACATCCCCCCAATTCGCCAAACTCCAACACTCCCTCACCCAAACCCACGTGCTCCAACTTTATTCCTACAAGCTGCCAACCTTACTCCTCATCCCCATCCCACTCAAATACATTAACCCCACCCTCCAATAATACCCACTCAAATACATTAACCCCACCCTCCAATAATACCCATCCCACACCATTCTCCACCACGTACTGTTACAGAAGCTCTAGCCGATGCTAATTGGCGGCATGCTATGTCTGAGGAGTTCAATGCTCTTATAAAAAAAATGGAACTTGGACTCTTGTTCCACGCACAGGCACGGAAAACATTATGGGTTGCAAATGGGTCTTTCGCATTAAACGCTTACCTAACAGTAACATTGACAGGTACAAAGCGAGGCTTGTTGCCAAGGGTTTTCATCAACGCCCCGGGGTGGATTATACGGGGACTTTCAGTCCGGTTATTAAACCAACCACCATTCGGTTGGTTCTATCTTTGGCTGTCATTCGAGGGTGGACACTACGACAAATTGATGTTAACAATGCCTTTTTGCAAGGTCATCTTTATGATGATGTTTTCATGCTTCAACCTCCAGGTTTTGTTGATCCAAACAAACCTAATCATATCTGTCGTCTTCGCAAAGCTTTGTATGGGCTCAAGGACAGACACCTCGGGCGTGGTATCAAGAACTCAAGCATTTTTTTGCTTGATCTGGGATTTCTTAACTCCAAGGCCGGTACTTCTCTTTTTGTATATCATCATGATCATACTCTTATTTATATTTTGGTCTATGTTGATGATATAGTCATTACTGGCAGCTCCCCGGATTTCATTGAATCACTAATTAAGAGCCTTGGCCAACGTTTTTCCCTAAAAGATCTTGGCAAGCTCTCTTATTTTCTTGGCATTGAAGTTATAGCACATCCGGATGGTATTCTTCTTTCTCCGCAACGTTATATTATGGACTTATTATCTCAATTTAAGATGGATGCTTGTAATGGTGTCACTACCCCTCTTGCTGCTAACACCAAGCTCAGTCTCACGTCTGGCCAGCCGCTTGATGATCCAGGGGACTATCTGTCAGTGGTTGGTGGCCTTCAATACTTGGCTCTTACACGGCCGGACGATGTGTCTTATGTCGTAAACAAGTTGTCTCAATTTCTTCACCAAACACTTTAATTTTTTTTCCAGCTATCAATAATATTATCTTTTGTAATTCAAACTAATTGTACAATATTATCTCTTAGTTAGTTATGCTTGATCTCTTCTAATTGTACTCCTATATAAACATCACGTGTATACTCCATGGAAGAGTGAATACAATTTACTACTTTCATATTACTTCTATATGGTATCACAGCTATCGATCCAAACACTTTAATTTTTTTTCCCCTCTCGGCTCCTTCCTTGTTCATCATCATCATCATGGCGTCATGGCGTCTGATGCCACCTCCGGTCACACCTCCAGTGATATATCCATATCCCCAAAACTTTTGAACCTAACAAACCACTCATTTCTGTCAATCTCGAGAATGTGATCAAACTCACTCCCACAAACTACATTTCCTGGCAATTACAGGTCCAATCTATTCTCACCGGATATAATCTTGACGGTTATTTGGACGGATCTCTTCCCTTCCCGCCTGCAATCATCACTGTCGATGGTACGGTGACTCCCAACCTGGCGCATGTCTCGTGGATACGGCAAGACAAACTTCTTTTCGGTGCTCTTATTGGTACTCTCACTTCTCCGGTGGTATCTCTCATCACACGTGCCAAAACCACCCAAGATGCCTGGAACACTCTGTCATCTGTCTATGATCAACCCTCTCGTGGGCATATTAAGCAATTGAAATCTCAGCTCAAAAAACTACAAGAAGGGATCCAAAAGCATTGGTGAATATACATAATTCATCAAAAATGTTGCTGATGAATTAGCCCTTTTGGGAAAGCCTCTGGATCATGAAGATCTCGTTGAGTACATTCTCAATGGTCTTGATGAAGGCTATAAACCCGTAATTGAAGCCGTTGAAGGACGTGAGACATGCATCACTTACACTGAGCTTCATGAAAAACTTATTAATTGTGAGCTCAAACTGCTTCAGGAGGCTGAATCTTTGCCAATGCCTATCACTGCCAATATTGATAGTTTTCGGCTGTAACGCCCCTCTCAGGGTTAAAGGAAACGTTACACTAACTTACTATTTGAAAAAAATAACTGCAATATAACGGCCGTCTATTTAAGAAAATAACCCTGATAAAATATCAAAGGTAACCAAAACAACTCTAAATAAAAACTTAATAAAAATATAGTTATCACCGGCAAATGTGATAACCACCTGGATCCAGGAATTTATTCAAACATTAAATCCTCAAATAAAATAAATAATAATAATCTCTTTATTATAACACTAAAATACTGAAACAAAATAATATCTAGCTAAAAGTCGCCAAGGTCGCTCCCGTTAACTCATCTTGGCACGCGTCCCACTCTCTCATCATCTTCCTAGGCCTTGGCCTTACCCTTAGTATCTGTACATGCGAAGAAAGAAAACTGATAAGCTTTACGCTTAGTAAGTCACTATGGATCCACAAAAATATCTAGAAGTCTATGTCAATTTATCAATAGATAAATTTAGGCTATAAACATGCACTGAACAAATAACTAACACATAGCTTCTCGAATACATTCTGAGTGAGATCTCAAAAGGAAAATATTTTATAAAATAATTTCTCAAAACTGCTGGAGAGATCTCAAAATTTCTTCTCAAAACATCTCTGTAAAAATTTCTAAAAGAGATCTCAAAAACGTTTTTCTGTAAAACTTTCTGAAAGAGATCTCATTAAACTTTCTGTATAACTCTTTGTGGCTAATTTTACTCTGTGGGCCCGTGATATGTACTCAAAGGCGCCAATCCGACAACTCAGGGGAGCGACCCACTAAACATATCAGACTCTCTGAAACTGATAACTGATAAACTGAGGGAACTTGTTCTCGAGTACATATCACCTGATCTTTCACTTTAGATATTAGTTCTTTCTTTTGTGGTGACGTTTGACTAAAAACATCATTAAATCTGAAAACAAAAGTACTGACGAATCTTGACTACGCCAGATAATAAACATAACTTAATCCAGCAAATAAAATAACTCATCACATAATTCACCTAGTTCACATAATAGCAAATAGTCTAAAATTATCTATTAAAAAAAAATCAACCAGACTTCTTTCTTGCATTTGGTTGAACAAACATGTACAGGTGGTAGTGAACTTACCTGTTAGAAGTTGAACTCAATTTACTCAACTAAGTGTGGCACATTGATAACGTCTTCCGGTAAGCTCTTCAATGAAATCTTTAATTAGATGTAATAAAATCATTACAAATCGGATGTCTAAACCATATTTGACTACTTCCAGTAAGCTTAGAATATATAAAATTAACTAGTTGATTTTCTTTTAACTGAAATTAGCAGCAGCCACTAGTCAGATTTGCCTCAGGACATCTACTATAAAAATTATATGTATAAAGCAGACCCCATTCAACAGTAAAACAAATAAAATGTGGCTGCACTTGTGAAATTCAAAAATCCATTAGTAAATCTCTGAAACCGACTTTCGTATGAGACTAAATTGTTGCTCATGTTTTGAATCAAACTATGTAGGCCGCTTAACTGATTTAAACCCAACAAGAACAAAATTGAATCTTCTAAATCTCAGGCTTACTATGGAACACACTCAACTGAGATTACTTCACGAGAAGAATTACTATTTTGACTAGATGTCCATGATAAGAACCTTAAAAACAGTATTTTAGTCTTGTAAGACTTCTGTTGAGGTTAAAAGAAATACGTAGTACCTACCCTACTTAACTTGCTTCTGGAAGGAAAGGTTAGGAACTCTATGGGAGATTTTAAATTATGGGCTGCTCACAGTAGAAACATCACTTGGTAAAACAATTTTAAAAAGGAAAAATTGATAGTAATAATCCCAACTATTGGCGGTCCGCTCATAATAATTCCAACTATTGATTATTACAGAATAATCCCAACTTTAGGGACCTTCCGCCAATAATGGTCCCTGTGAATAAATTATTGTAGTTTCTAAAGTGGATGAGATGAGATATAACAAGTAATCCCTATAAATAATCTCAACTTTTAATTTTTACGCTTAATTTCTTTTTAAAATTCACTTTTTATAGAGGTAATATATGGTCATGGACCATTATTGGCGGATAGCCTATATAGTTGGGATTATACAAAAATAATCAATAGTTGGGATTATTTTCAACGGACCGGCAATAGTTGGGATTATTATTTTCAATTTTTCCTTTTAAAAAAAACGAATTCAATTGAAAGAACAAAATTGTGGGAATGTAATAAATTTACAAGGAAACCTATACACTATTATCTATGTGTGAGTCTTCCAAAATCAGTCTGACACCGGGATAAACAAATCAATTTAGCTCTATGTGTGAGTCTTCCAAAATCAGTCTGACACCGGGATAAACAAATCAATTTAGCTAAATCGGAGCTTTGTTAACCTGACCAATAGAATGATAGAATCCTTATAGAAACTCGTGCCCCTAAACCATACTGACAGAACCATATAAGTAGATAGAATACTATTGAAATAATTAGATATTCTACACTTCCATTATTTCCATATCACCATGTGTATTGTTTTCATTTAAGTTAGCACCCCTGCGTGGGTATCATTACATGCATGTCCCATGCATGTTTCCTCTCTCTTCATACCACACTTATTTGTATTATATATAGCATGAAAATGCTCCTGCATGTATATACGCATATATTGAACTCCTTCAAGGAGGATTGTTTCTTCCCATCTATTTCATAGTTTCACCAATACTTATCAGTTTTATCATGGTATCAGAGCCGAAATCCTGGAAGTAATTTCTTAAGTTCTCATAAAATATGGCGTATACATCGCCACATGTTCGTTCTTGGATAATTGACTCTGGGGCTACTGAACACATCACGTGTAGTGATAACAACCTCTTTGATATCAATCACACGCCAGAGCCACCAGTCAGAATTCCTAACGGTGATTTAATTTCGGTTCATGCTGTTGGTAGTTTATACTTACCCAATGGGCTCCGACTTAAACGTGTTCTATACATTCCAAAATTTCAGTGCAACTTACTTTCTGCTAGTCGCCTAACAAGCGATCTAAATTGTACACTCACGTTTTTTCCAGACTTTTGTATTTTACAGGATTTGCCCTCGAGAAAGTTGATTGGTGTGGGTAAATTTCGTAATGGTCTCTACTATTTGGAGTCCTCGAGAAGTGAAGGAGTGGCAATGTCAGTCTCTATTACCTGTGATTTATGGCATCAACGTTTGGGGCATGCATCTGATGGAAAGATACATCATATTGGTTATCTCAAGGGTTTTAAACGGGACAATATTTTTTGCGATCCTTGCATGCGAGCTAAGCAGACCAGGCTGCCCTTCCCAAGAAGTACTATTAAGACAACTCGCTGTTTTGAATTGATACATTGTGACATTTGGGGACCTTATAGATGTGATTCAAGCTCTGGAGCACGGTATTTTCTATCTATTGTTGATGACTTTACTAGAGGTGTTTGGGTTTATTTAATAAAAAATAAGTCCGAAGTTCCTCACTTGTTGATTCACTTTTGCAATATGGTAAATACCCAATTTGAACGTCAAGTCAAGCGAATCCGCACCGATAATGGCGCCGAATTTCAAACCAATGTTTTACGTGAGTATTATAACCATAACGGAATTTTGCTAGAGACATCATGCACCGATACACCACAACAAAATGGGGTAGTAGAAAGAAAACACAGACACATATTGGAAGTTGCTAGGGCTCTCCGTTTTCAATCTGGGTTACCCATTAATTTTTGGGGAGAATGCATTTTGACTGCCGTCTACATTATTAATAGACTTCCGTCACCCCTTATCTCAAATAAAACTCCCTATGAATTGTTATTAGGTAAGGTGCCAAATTATGAACATTTGCGAGTATTTGGATGTTTGGCATATGCCCACAACAATAAACAAAAGGATAAATTTGGTGAAAGGGGGAGTCCTTGTATTTTTATTGGGTACCCATACGGACAAAAGGCTTATCGTGTCTTTGATTTACAAAAGCAAACGGTGTATAGTTCTAGGGACGTCACATTTTTCGAACAAAAGTTTCCGTTCAAAGTTATAGATGATCCAGATCTTGACTTTGAGAGACAAGTTGATCAAGTGTACAACCATACAATAAAACAAAACTCTCCAATAAACCATGACAACTGCAGTCGGTCATCCCCACCTAACCAAA